ACAATTAAAGAAGTTTGCGAGATAAGCAAAACTCCCAATTAATTTAATACAGATTAAGGCCGGGGCGGTGAGTTTGATCAACAGAGCTTCTGGATTCATGTTTAGCAAACAGACCTTTTCCGCTTCGCTCAACTAAATGATAAACACAGAAATGAACAAGAGATTTTGCAGTAATGGATGCGGACGATCGCAGGGTTCTCGATGATGTTTTTGCTCAGCAGAAGCAGTGGCAATTGGTAATCCTTGAAGCTATGGAAGTAGAACGAGCCAAGCACTTCATGCAGGCTGATAATGTATCATTTAAGCCAACTGTGGATAAAAAAGCACGTGTTGCTGTCCAGGTCTGTGGTACCTTGCAGCTTTTTTAAATTTAAAATTTTAAATGTTTAACGGTTATTAAATGATGAAATGCAATATGCTGCAGCATCACCATCACCACTGCCAACACCATCAGCAGCAGTAAAAGCATATGTATTTCATTTCAAAAAGCAGACTGATCAAGGCGTGGTGTGCTAACAGAACACGTAATTCTCCTGGCCGCAGAGGACAAAATATAACTGAAATAGCATATAAGAACCATGGATTCGGCAAAACTAAGAAGTCTTTAAGAACCATGGATTCGGCAAAACTAAGAAGCAGGAAGTGAAGTACATACTGGAACAAGGCAACTAGTTCTAACAAAGACTATCTGTGCTGCGGTAAAAGCTTTAGTGCAAGTGAATAACGCCTGTCCAATTTATGTGAAATTTTCTCGCATGTTAACCCTCACAAAAAACCAAATAAAACTTGAGGGGGAATGAAATTTCGTTTATTCTGTATCGCAGCTGGTTTCCGTAAAATTCCTAGCTGAGACAGGCAACAGTGAGAGTCGAACAAATGCCCTAATGAAAGCTGAAACTTCGTTGTTGCTTTCTATGCGTCGTTTAAAACAAACTTCGCATTTCAATGCATATAAATGCGGACTGCCGGCAAGCATGGCGCAGTGGGGTAGCACTGTTGTTACGCAGTAAGTCAAAGATTTGAATCTGCCGGTGGGACGACCAACCCCTCTACGATTCGTTTTGGTGGTAAATTGGTACTGGCATGTGTCAGGGGGTCCAACTAGCCACCAGCTTGCAAGTAAGCAACCCCAGAAGACGAAGCTATCAACCCTTGCCAGCGGGTGGTTGTTTGGCATTTGCTATC